AACGCATGTGCATCTATTCCACTCATATATTCAGAATAAAAGGGTAACCATGCAAATGGGTCCATGGATATAATGGGCACAAAATGATTAAAATTAGTACATATCTCCATTTATAATTGCATTATTTTGAACTCCACATTGGTATTTTGAATATGCAGAAGTCTGTGCCAGCTTCCAAAAGCTGAGATACTTCTTTTTCTCTACTGTACAATTACCCTAGACTTCAGACCCTTTTTCTTTCTGAGGAGCTTAATTGCACTGCAAAGCACCCATCCTATGCCATAGGGTTTTTGTCATTATTGCAGTGATAAGAGCTAACCACAGAAGTCAAATGGTTGCTTTGAGAATTTCATTACAAGAAACTAGGTAACCTTTCTAATCATATGCTACTGTATACCATGCTATGACTAATGTAAATTTGCTTCCTCTAAGCAAGGATCATAATACTCCATTCAAAATTAGTTCAAAGAAAAAATCTAAACCAATTTCTAAAGGCAATCTAAATGTTTGAAAAGACAAATGTACTAGGAGAAAATATTTCCAGTGGATTTAACTATAAATGATTAGAATTTAGTATAAAACATTTCTATAAACATCAACCACACAAGAGACAAAAAGAAAGGTATATTAAATTCCAGTTGCACACAAGGAAATCATAATTTAGTAACTTGACTAATTCAGCACTTACTTTTTTAGTGGTGGTTCTTTTCATTCTTATTTTTTACCTTAAAATATGAATACTATTTATTGATATTAAGATAGCATTGTTTCTTTTATCTCCTGGGTATATTTTTTCTTGTCATCTTTCTGTATCCTTAAATTGTTTAAATTGCATGTAGCAGATATTTGTAAATATAATGTATAAATCTATTTACACTAGTGAGAATTACTCATTTATATATGTTATGATTACAGACACATGTTTGATGTTTTGTTCCATGTTGATGTATGTTCACTATTTATCCTGATTTTATAGCCTCTTTCTTCATTTTTACATCTTCTATAAGGTTGACTTTTTTCCAACTTCCTATCCCATATTTTTTTTAAAATTTATATATGCTATTTCTATTTTTCCAGTGGTTATCTTCAACATTTCAGTATTGAAATTAAAAGTAAAAATTTTTCTTTCTTTTCCAACGAGGAGAGAAATCTTGTAAAACTTTACCACTAATCAACATCATTGCATCTTTCATGCCATCTCTGTGAAGGGCTTTACGTCTAAATCATTTATTCCAAAATATAGACATCATTATTTAGCATTTAATATGTTGTATTTTCTTTTCCCATGTACTTATGTATGCTTATTTTTATTACTTACATACTTAGCCTGTAGTTATTGTTTCCTTGCTTTCAAATTTTACCTAAGGTAATTTCCTGTCTTTCTGAACTACGTCCTTTGCGAAATCCTTGAATGAACTTAGTGATAAACTCATGTATTCTTTTATACTCATATTTTTCACCTTTGTATTTGAAGAGGGTAAAAATAAATAGTTATTTTCTTCAGTACTTTAATAGTAATTCTCCACTGTTGTTAAAACATGTTCTGTTGAGCGTATTCATTGATAGGGTCTTTTTCTGTGGTTTTTCAAATATCTCTTTATTGCTGGTATTTTTTTAAGAAATTGTAGCACACTTAGCGCACTTTTAAGAAATTGTAGCACACTATTGATTTTAGCTTCATTTTATCTGCTTAAAATTTATGTATGTTTCTTGAGGACAAGATTTTATGCTTTTAATAAATTAAGGGAAATCTTAGGCTTTATCTTTTTAAATCATTCCTTTCCTTCATCTCAATTCTCCTCTTCTAAAAGTCCTATTAGACATTTTCATTTGTACTTTTCATTACAAAGCCTTTTGAGTTTTTGTATTATATTTATGCTTTTTTATTATAAAAAGAAGGAAAAATAGAACTTAATTTCAAACAAGATACTAGGAGAATAAAAATAATTAATACATTGCATATTGTTATCTTCAGAATAGTTAGTAAGGGTACAAGATATAAACATGAGATATTGTCTTATTTCTTATATTTTCTGTTTTATATTTATTCTCACTGTGGTTAACTTTTTATGTATTTTGATTTTTATTGTAAATTTATACTCAGAGGACGTTCTCTGTGGAATTTTCACCTGGCTGAGATAAGATACTTCCATTTTCAGAAGATTTACGTTTTTTTCCCATATAAGACAGCATCTTACTTCATGGTGCTGATTTTATCCTTTCTGGTATATATTATTTAACTTTCACTGTGCGTATTTTGCTTGCTATTTCATGTCTCAGATTGTGGTTCCCTAACCCACACACACTGTTTATATTTGAACTCTGAGCTGATGTGGTTGCCCATTCTTAGTGGCAACTTTGGCGTTTGTTTACCCTCTGAACTTAATAGCCAAAACAAATAGACTTCTTTATTTTTTACCTTTGTTCACAAGAAGTTTTCCTGTGATGGTAGCAGCTCTTTCTGCTTATTTTTTCCATATACTTTTTCTCTAATATTTCAGGCTTTTTCGCTTCATTTTTTTTTAACGGCTTTATTTCCAATCTGTTTCTCCTTGCTTAAGTGCAAAGCCTGGTCTCCTGAGAATTCTTCCTGTTTTAATGGAAATATTCTCCAGGGTGGTTATGAATTCTGGTTCTATTTCCCAATCAGTTTTTTTTTTTTAACTTTTTAAAATTTTTATTTTAAAGGGGGTAAATTTAAGCAGAACAAAATAGGACATAAGAAAGCAATGCAAGAGATATAAATTTCAAAGCTGGATGACCTGAGATCTTCACTGTCTATCATATTGTCTCTTGTTTTCTTCCAAATAGTTGTCCACGTCTTCGCATGCAGAGAATTTTCATACAAAACAATATAGTGATCCGAACAGAATGAGAAAGGGGTTTTAGGGTCTTCAAAACCAGACAATAGGGAAGTAGTCACTAATGGCTGTTGTAGAGTCTCTGGTTCTCTTCAAAATAGCTGTCCATACTTTGATGTATATTGAAGTTCAACAAAACAAGACAGGCAGGTGGGGAGGGGTTGCTTGGTTTCCCTGTGCTCCAGGTCCCAGCTTGGTGGCAGGTTCCAGTAAATCCTAGGGGCTCCCATCCTGGGCTGCCACAGCCCACCAGGCTCACAGCCACTTAAGGGGTGGTGGTAGTGGTGGTGTTTGATTTCCTGGAGCTCCTCCCATCCTGAGCTGCCATAACCTGCCAGCTCACAGCTGCTCACCAGAGGGGAAGTGGTTACTTTAAGCTGCTTCTTTCTAATGAATTGATCATTTCACTGCCCAAGTTCTGAAATGGCCAACAGGCCATAGAAAGACGTCTCTTTAGGCTCCTGCTTGAAACCAACCGCGTCAGGAAGCTGCCAGCCTTGATACAGGGCCAGCCAATCAGTTTTCTAACTCACTGTTTTTTTACCTCAAAGAGATCCATATGATATAATGGAGCTAAAAATCACTGATCATATTTTACCTTCATAGAATGTACATTGTGTTACAACTTTTCAAGGTCATATAAATAGCAAGCCTGGAATTTTAAATCGAATTTCATTTTTGTTTCAGAAGTTCTTTAGAGTATGATTTTTTAATTTCTAAAAACTTGTGAGTGATGTTTTGTATTTTTGTAAATATTGTCCTGAATATTTCTCCAATGGAGAATTTATTGAGATTTCTTTTGTTCTCTACAAAATTGTGAATGTAACAAATTTTTTTAAAATGGGAAACATGAAGGAATATATATTCTACTCTTAAAACTTAACACTTTTAGAGTGTCTGTGTCTCTAAATTGTGACAAATCACTGGTCAAAAATTGGAGATGGTGATGACATGTACTCCCTCCCACACACAAATTCCATTGTTTTACTTCCTTATATATTTTTTTCTCCAGCAGTTTCTGCTCTGCTGATGTAAACAATAGTATTTCCCATTTAGAGTTTGGCACTATATATCTATCTTGGGTATGTATGGCTATTTCATTTTCCTCTATACACTAGTTTTGTTTTGGAATTGTATTTTAGAGGATATTAAGTCACATCCTTTTATTTAGTTGTTGCTTGCTGAATACACTTTGTCCATATTTTACTGATTGTGTGATTATTTAGATATTCTGAAGTGGCCAAATTTTAATCTTTGTGTGTTCATAGTGAGTTTAATTTGTATTTGTACATGAGAAATATTTAGTTCTGAACAGCACTGTATTTCATGCACTGAGTATTTTAAGCTTTCTGTTTCTTTTGTTTTCCTATATAATTACTTTGTTTGCTTAATTTCAGAAATGACATAAAAACCATTCTATTTTTATGTTTCTATTTATTGGCTAAAATTAACATTTAAAAAATATATTGTAACATATGTCTCTATAATGTCCTGCATCAGTATTGAAGTATTATCCGTTGGCTTCCTCCTCTCCTTTGTTCACCAACTTTCTTTTACTGATTATTTACAATTAAATATAATCTGAAGTTTTAGGTCTAATACGCTATTACTGCATGACATGTATTTTCTCTTTAAAGAATTAATCTCCTAATACTTACCTGGATTATTGCAGCTGATTAAATAAAATGATATCCAACTAATTTCAATGCCTACTGACTCTCTTCATACCATAACTTCCTCATTGTGTGGTAACTGTTTTAATTAATGTCTGATTTGACTGATGATTGCTTTTCTTCAGTCAGTGAATTTTCTCATAGTTTGCATGTGAGAAGAGAACTTTCTGGTGCCCAAGCATATAACCAATATTTGACTGAGTGTAGAGATCTTCAGTGATAACATTTTCCCTCAAAAAAGAAAAATATCTATTCCATTTTTTCCAGATATTTTGTCATAGAGGAACAATTCCGATATCAAAATCTAAATAATCTTGATTATCAGAAAAAATATTAGAAGGTCCCATTGTCCTGGGATGAAGAGTGAGAATAGTAGAACCTTTCATAATCACACAAAGTCTTTGTCAGGCCTGCTCTTCTCCTACATTACCTTCTGCAGAAATGAGTCTTTAAAGACTTGGCTTACCCTTTATCTGGCTGCCCACAGCATGCAGAAGACATGACTCCACCGGAACACTGGATCAAGACCCATTCTTTGCTTTGCCTGCTTTCTTCTTGATTGGAACTATGTGTGCCAGAGGAAAATCTTGCCTCCCTCTAATTCTACCACTGGAGCATAAAGCCATCTGTTCAAAAAGAGAAAAGCAAGCTAGAAAAATGCTCCTTATGTGCTACAACTTGGTTATGTTTCATTCAATCACCTGATTTACTGAATGGAAAATATTTTGTTCCTAATTAACAGACTTCAATATTCAGGTTTACTTCTGAATACAACTTTTGCTCTTTTCAAGAATAGTTATGTGGAAACTACAGTACAAAACAAAAATTCCTTAGCATAATAAATCCATTGAATACCAACTAAATGGCCCCATTTGACTTTTAATAAACCCTACTGTGGTTTTGTATGCCTTCTGCTTTTGTGAAGAACACTAAATAAAATTCTTTGTGATACTCATACATTTATCCACTGCACTATACTGGTGAAGATAGTGTCCATCATGTACTGCTAGATTGTTATCTGTATGTGTAGGCTTTACTTAGGTTTCAAATCTATTTTTTCCCTAAGTATGGAAGCTAAATACTGTTCTCGTGTTTAATCCTTAAATTGGGCCACTCTTATAAATTAGCGTCAGTAAAAAAAAGCTGGGGCTGGGGGTTTAGTTCAGCAGCATAAATGCCTGCCTTGCAAGTGCGCAGTTGGCAGTTCAATCCCTGGTACTAATAAAAATAAATAAATAAATAAATAAATAAATAAAGTAGCATCAGTAACTGAGTTCCACTCTAGTGTGGTCACTTCCTTCCCAAAAGGTCTGCATTCTGTTTTGTCCTCTGTGATCCACATAGACTTGGAGGCACCAAGTCCCTAAACTCCAGATTCTGTGATTGAATGATGTCTATAAAAAGCTAGATAGCTTTCTTTGGAGTTAGTGCTTTTCACTGAATACTTTTCAGAGGTCTACATACACATACCACTTGCATGTTGACTGCCACCATTGGTATCAGGGCCAGTTCATTTCCAATTGGCCACTACAGAGACTTTTCTAGACACCATGTCACACTTCAGTGGACCTTTGTATCCCAAAGAACCTACATGCTGAAGCCCAACCTGTCTTATCAGCTGTCAAACCTTGTATTGTAATATACTTTTCACCAGAACCAAGGCAATTCTCAATTACATGTAATTGCCTATGGATGACTAAACGCAGTTACAATAAATATTTGCAAAATTATTCCTGAGTATGACAGTGTATGAATGGGAGAATTTTACCGTTTATTCATAGTTATGTGATACTAATATCCAATTAAAATTAAGATAGTGACTGCTTTGCACCACACAATTTTACAGCCTTTCACATTTCAGTAACAGACTTACAATTAGACACGTTTTTTTAAATTTTCTTCTAATCACGTTCACAAGCAAAACTATGAGTAGTTATTCTTCTACCACTAAGTTACACAAAATGTAAGAAGTATAGAATTATCTCAATTTGTTTTCTATGCATGAAAGTAAACCTTAACAATCTCCATACAAGTCCTTTGCTAGTAAATAGCAATTTATTATTAAAATTGATATTTTTATTGTCAAGAATTATCTATAGAATCCAGAAAATTTTTCAGAAACTCTAAGTATATTTTTTATTTTAAAAAACATGATTTGAACTTTTCTAACTTGAATCTAATAATAAAGGGTCAAAACAATCTGGCTTTCATAGCAGTTTGTTTCTGAGTTATTTTCATCTTGAATTTTCATGTAATTTGTTTAATTGTGTGTGACAACTTTGCATACAGTTATTTCTGTTTATCACTGAGGATTTATCAAGTGCCTAAAGGTCTTTTTCTAAGCACTGTACATGTGCCATTTCCGCTGCCCTCAGACACCAAAGCAAAGTCATGGTAACCGTTTTGTAGATGAGAAAACTGAGTCTTAGGTAGTTCTCTGATGCATCTCACTGTATATATACTTCTAGCCTAAGTATTCTGTATGAGTAGGGGGGAATATTCTATTATTAGTATGGAAATATTACCCTAGAGAATAGTGCTACTGTAAAAAAAGTTTTATTTTACTTTAAAAATTGTTATGCACTTCTATTTTTATAGCATGCATTATCAATAAATAATAATTCATAGGGAGGCCCAAGTTCAGAGTCTAAAAGATGAGCAATAGGATCAATACCTGCCACTACCATGTTTCAAAAAAAGCATACGACAGGCAAGATTGTGCTCAGCCATCTCTTAAGTGATATTTTTTTACAGTGTTTTCCATAGACTTGAGAGTTTTTAATTTTGAAGGTAGCTTGTCTCATTAACAGTAGCAATGCTTTATGTACATTTGTGCAGGGTTTTTTTTAAATGACACAAACCATTCGCTAGTGAGGGAAGTTAAAATTAATGTTCACAGTGCTTTCTCCTTTAGGAAGGACATTCTTCAAGCAATGCATTATTCAGGTGGGGGTATAAAGCTGGGACATTTGAGTGAAATATACTTGCAGAGTTATTAAATTTAAAATACAAAATGTAAAAACATATGAATACTACCTAGATGTAGTCTTCTAAAGAAAAATTTTAAATCATCCTAGCTTTAAATTCTATACCCATACATTTTCAACATTAATGAAGATTTGTTTTACTTTTGAATAAGTGGACAAAATCCATTTCTCAAAGATGTACGATTAAAGGTGGCAACAGAAACATGCTTTAAAAATTTATTTTATTGTATTATGTTGTTTTCTTTTTACATTTTTGAATTTGCCTAGAGCATGTTTTTTTTGAACACTTTTTTCAGTCAATGTCTGCCCCCTGTAGTAAGTTGAGGAGGCAGCAGTCATATAAGGCCCCGGATGTGCCTGTGAAGAAACCCTGTAAAAGCCATTCCTGTGGCTCTCTCGGGACATGTGGCAGGAGAACAGAAAGGCAAGAGTAGAGAAAATAACACATGGGAGGCTCCATGCGTCTGTAGGATCCACAGCATCGCAGGGGCTGGCTGGGTCATGTGTTTGAGCATCTCTGAGAACAACTGGAAAATTTCAGGCTCAGGGAACAATCACATTTAGGCAGGAGCTCTGAGAGACAACACTGTTGCTTAGATTTCTTCAGCAAGAAGAGAAGTGACCCCATTTGTCTCACTGAAGACCAGACTTAAATGATAAATTAAATTGTGCTTTGAAGAAAAATACAAGTCAAAAAGGTAACTTCTCTATATTTAATATTTTACTTTATTAACAAATAGCTTTTAAAATAATAGCTTTTAAAATACCCAGAAAAAAGTATGTACTTAGTTAAGTACAAAGTTATGCAAATATCAAACAATGTTTATCTAAGATCTCATGCCAAAGCAGTGTCTTTATCAAGACTTTTTGTTAACACACTGAATATGTTTGTAAACAGCTGTTGAGAATAAGAGGTTAAAGAAAGTGAAGAATAAAAGTATCAATACTGACTCTGAATGAATCTATTTCGTCTCTATTCATTTTTATAATTTGTTTCTTTCTCCAAAACAACATTCTATTAATGATAGTGAAACCTCGCTGACTTTCGTTCAGAACTGGGAATTAAAATAGCTGACTTTAACTAAATGTGAGGGAAAGACGCAGGCCAGCTCCTAGTCATGTGAAATAATGCAAGACAATATGTCACCCAGCAGTGTAGTGTCCTTGACCTGCTCCAGGGCTCACTCATCTGCTTCGTGGCCTTGGGTTATTGCCTCAACCTTTGTGCACAATTTCCACAGCCACAAAATAGGGTTAATTATGTTACTGAGAAAACTTGGGGATATTTTAAAACGGGGTACAGAAGTAATGCATAAACACAGAGCTCTTTCAAGAACTACCCTTATCCACAGCTGTCCTACAGAAATAAGTGTTCTTCAGACCGAAGGTACAAAAATGTGTGAGCAGAGGGAGTGACACAAAAAAACTTTTGAAATAATGGATAAGTTCATTGTCTTGATTTTGGTGACAGTATCATGGATGTACTTGTGTCCAGACTTTCAAATGTATAAGTTTTAATGTATTAATTATATTTCAATCAAGTCCTACAGGGAAGCAGAGAGACAGAAACAGAAAGAGATCCAGAAAGCTATAAGGAGGTGTGGTCTAGGCTCACTTACAAGGCATTTGCTACTCAAAAGGATCTTTTTTTAAGACTGACCCTTGAGGAATGGGGAGAGATAACTCTGTAGGAACTTGCTATGCTTACAGAAAACAGCTGGATTTCCTTCTCTAATCCACACCCATATTATATTTGTGGAGTTTGAAACGTTTGAAACATTTGATTCTAAAGAGAAAATCATAGATGAAGGAAAGAAATATAATCTGACAATACTATACCCAATCTCTTTATTATATATATTTAAAGCAACAATCTTTCCAAACATGAAAAATATCCAGGATTCAAGAATCCAAAGACCTTTCTTATTAAATAAAGTATTTGACAATGAAATCCAGCCAATCAAATAATGGATCAAAACAAAGAAACAGAAAGAAGATGCTGTGATTGCTGAATTTATTCTCAGATTACAGAAAAAAGAAATATAAAAATACAATTTAAGATAAACTAGGACCTAGAAGGGAAGAGCTAGTATAATTACACTTTCAAGGCATAGAATCTGTCAATCTGACTCCCAAATTAAAGTATTAAAGTATACAGCTAAATAACACCAAAACTCAAACTACAAAGTCAGAAAAAGACAAAAACATAGACAATTATTTAAGAACCATAAATTAAAATGAAGTGGTATACGTAGTAGAAAAAGACTTTAGACACTTTATGTTCAAAAGAGCTGATATGTAAGCCTGCACCACTATGACAGAGTTAATTAAAATTTTTGTTATCAACCACAAAATGTACAAAGTTTCCTCTTATTTATTTTAATCTTTTTTTCCTTTCAGACAGATTTGGGGGCTCCCTCTGGTGGATGAACATAATATAATATTCATTTTTGCCTTGTAAAAATTTTTAAATAAAGTAAAAGGCTACAATCTACATTGAAATATCTTTCTATGAAGTATGAAATTTCGTGGAATTTTTAAACACATGCTGCTGCTCATCGTGGTTAGTGATGATGGTGAGGATAACGAGGGGGATGACTAAAATGATGGTAAATGGATTCTATTAAAATCTTTGCCAT